AGGGTGGGGGGGGTGGGGGGGGGGGTGGTGGGAAGACACAGGATGGGAGCGGGGCACAGGGCAGGGGAGGTGAGGCACCATTGCCTGTGTCTCAGCCAGGCAGGAGCCGACACAGAGCCCAGCTGATGGCTTGTTAAGAGCTAAGTGGTTCTTGCCCCACCTTTAGGCACCAAAACCCCAGCTCTGAGTAAGAAGCAGTGGCTGTACCTCCCAGCCCCCCAGCCCCCTAATCCAGAACAGAGATGGCCCTTATTCCAGGCCTTTTTGTCCTTCCCTCACCAAACTCACTTCTCCAACATCAGAGCCTGGGCCTTCTCTTTTCCACCATGCAGGCTCGCAGGGTGCTGGGAGAGCAGCACTCCATTAAACCATCTGCTGGAGGTTCATCTGCGCGATGAGGGTGTGCTACAGGCTGCTGAGGCTGACCTAGGTTTCTTCCCCCCCCTGCCCTCATCACTCAGATGCTCTTTTCAACTGGTGTTGGGTGAGGTTCAAGCATTAGTGTTTTTTAAAGGGTTGCAGGTCATTCGTTCTAATGGCAGCCAAGATCAAACCTCTGTGGGTTTCAAGGGCCGAGTGGTGAGCCCTGATTTTATTTTGACAGCCTTGAGAGGTGAGTAGAGGGCCTTGATTCAGGCCTGAGGAAATAGAAAAGAGCTTCCTCTGTTACCTTCCTGGAATGTGGCCGGACTCCTCTCCAACACTTCTGCTTCTATTCTCTTTTATATCCATCTCTTCAGTGGATTGAGAGCTCCTCACGTTTAGGAAGAGGGACCCAATTCAGTGACTCACACTTCTGTCTCCCACTGCAGCTACCCTCGGGATTTGTATACAGAAGATACTAAGGAAGGAAGCCAGATGGTGGTACAGCATTAATTCAGCTGTCCCCCACCTGGAAAGGTGCCCAGTTCGTGGCCCAGGGTCTCCCTGTGTATGCCATGTGCACCCACACATGCCTGTGACCTGGGCTGGCTGGGCTGTGGGTGGATCATGGTGTGGTAATCCTCTGGGGGTATCTCTCTCTCTCTCTCAATAAATAAATAAAATTTAATAAACAGAAAAGAAGTAGGGAGAAAATATGAAAAGAGGAAAAGGGAAAAAGGAGGAAAAGAGGAGACGAAGAAAGCAGGACCAGTCTCCTTCCTAGAACTGCCCCATACACCTTGGGCAGGTCATGTTTCCACCATGCCTCTCTGAAGGATATGGCCCCGGGATATACAGTCCTTCATTGCCTGCTTCCAAGTCTATGTCTCCTGAGCTATACAGCCTCGATTGTCACAGGTGAAGGAAGAGGGTAAGGACAAGAGCCAAAACTATAAAAAGCTTACAGATCCATGCATGTTGACTCATGTTGACACTTGTGTATTTACGACATTAACTTTTGTGCAAAAAAGTATACATGCTATGGAATGAGATAGAAAAACCATCCTTCTGATTTCTTTATGTAGCAAGTGCCCCAGCTTCACCTCGGGAAATGATCAGCCTCAAAGAAAGAAAAACAGATTATGAGTCCACTGGCAGCAATGCCACATACCACGGAACTAAAGGTGAACACACCTCCAGGAAAGACACCATGACAGGTGAGCTCTGTGGGTGCACCTTCTTCTTGGAGAAGGCCCTGGGGACAGGGAAGAGGGCTGGGATGCTGGGTTTCAGCCTTTGTATCTTATCAGGACTTCAAGACTGTCCAGTCATTTGAGATCTGGATAGCCACAATTCCCGGGAGTTGTAAAACAAAATGCTTTCTACATACATTTTTTCCCTCAATGTTTCCCTCTCACTTTCCCAGTTCATAGCATTCTCACAATTAGAGAGAGGAGGTCACTGCTGACTTCTTCATTGGCATGATCCACTGTGGAAAGGGTTCCAAGATGGTGGGTACATATAGTCAGGTTTTGCCCATTAGGTGTGGAGGAAACAGAAAAGGGTAGAGAAGCGAAGGAGAAGGGAGAGGAGGAGAGGGAACTCAAGAGACCCAAATAGAACTCTTGTTGAGACATTGTCTTTCCTTTGCCATGATACCAACCTCTTACCATGACAAACTCCTAAGATGCTTCTGTAAGAACCGATGACCACAGTGTCTCTAAGGAGGCATTAATATTTGATGCCCTTCATTATTCATGATCTCAGTCTTATCCATTGTCTTTCCTTTCTCATCATCTCTGACTCTACGGAGGTCAAAATTGGTGTCTTTAAGCTCTCCTTCCAGCATGCCGTGTCCAGCTGTCTGATATCCAGGCTTGTCCTTATTCACCTTGTATAATTTTCTTTGTGGCGTTCATGACCACCTCCAAGCTTCCCATACCCACACACCTTCCTTCTCCATGTATGGCCCCTCGTCCAAGAAGCAGGACCGAGGATATTGCTGTAGAGGAGGTTATACTTTAAAGCAAAGCTGCCAGTGCCATGCACATGTAGACCCAGGGACCCTGCCTACTTTGCCATGTGAGCATGCAGATGGGTCCCTCCCAAAAACAGGCCATGAGGAATAGGGCTTTTGCAGAACAAGGTCAAACTAGGTCATTCATAAACATGGTCATTCATAAACATGGTGTGCAAGGAGCTCAACTCTAAAAACTGGGGTCTTCTTATTGGAAAAAATCTTAAAAGCATGAGACCTAGCCCTCTGATATTATTTAGGTATAGACCTGCAGGGGAGCAGGACAGACACGCTGAATGATTTATTAGAGTGAGTTCCCAACCCAGGATGGCTAAGATACATTTATTTAACAGCAGATGTAGGTACCCTAGCAGCAATGTGTGCTGTGTTAGCTCTGCCCAGCTGCATAAAGAAAATAAGAGCAGGTGTTGTTCATCCCCACTTCCAGGTCAGCATCTGCCTCCTGTGCAAACCCTACAAGGGAGACTCTCGCCCTCTCTCCTGAAGTGGTTCCTGCTTGGGAGAACTGAGCCCATCACACAGGCCAGAGTATCGTATTCTCATTCACTGTGTTTCCCTCGTAAATGATGCTCCAGTCATAGATGAATGTAAAGGAAGCCCTGGACGTGATTCCTGAGTTCTAGAGATGAGATGTTCAGGGGAGACTCTGTACTGATTACTCCAAAGTGATAGTTAATGCCGAATTCACCCGAGCCATCCATTTTGTGATTTGTGTTGCCCCAGGTAGCCACATCGCCCGTAATCTGGGATGACAGCTCAAGATTATAGTTATAAGAATAACTGTGAGGTTGACTACATTGCTATCATTAAGTTTGCTTCTCTTTAACTCTCTTGAGCAGTCCAATCATTCAAAAGGCATTTACATATGGATGTGTTGATACTGAAATAAGGCCAATGGCACATGATTGTGCTTCGTGCATATAATAAAATAAAATATAAAGTCTGATGTGTTCCTGATGTTTAATTTTCCCAGAAAATGGTAGGGATCTTAACAACTCCAGTTTTGAGAAATGTGTAATTTTTCAGGCTTATTTAGATGTTTCAATAGCTTTGCTCCAATTTACATATGCTGTTCAGAATTACACAGTCAATCTCGTAGCAGACCTAGAAAACACTGAGATCTTTATTGGATACATTCATATAGGCCAGTTCTTTACTGAATGTGTTTATTTAGGCAAGTTCCTCGTAAGCCAACAAGTGCTATGGAGAAGTTATTTTTGTTTAAAGAGTTATTTATTTAATTTTATTTTTAATTATTATTATTGTTTAATTTTCTACAGGGCACATGCATTCACCAGAGAGAGAAAAATAGAGGGGAGGGGGGTAGTGAGAAAGCAAGCTGCCAGGTCCAGGACTCGAACCACAGCCAGACATGTGGGTGTCCCATGCCCCAACCATTGAGTATTTATTCCCACAGCAATGGTGGTGGTGATGAGGGGTGGAGGAGGTGGTGTTGGTTGGAATGGCCATGGAGGTGAGGGTGATGGTGCTCATAGAGTTGATGGGTGGTGATGGACAGAGTGGCAGCAGGATGGTGCAGTTGATGGAGTCAGTGAGGATGGTGAACATGGAGGTGGCCATGGTGAGGCTGTGCTGTTGGTGTTGGTAGGAGAGGCTGGTGGTGGCGATCCTTGTACTGCACTGGTATGAAGTAGTCCCCAGCCAAGCCATGGGAATGAAGGGTGAGTTACTAGCTTCCACACTGAAGCGCTTCAGTAAATGTCCATCATTTTAGCATTTCCTTATATAATCAGGTTTTTTGTGGTGTCTGCACCAAAACAGTACCTTTTCTCGTTCAAGAATATATCCAGGGCCAGCTCAAGGAGTAGTGGTTAAGGCAGCTGGATGCCATATGATCAAATACAAGGTTCAAGTCCCAGACCCCACAGCTTGAAAAACATGTTGGGCACCTGAGTGTGTGCGCGGCCATCCAGAATTCCCAAAGGGGAGAATGATGGAGGAGGAGGGATTGCGGCATGACCATTGCCCATGGAAGGGGGGAAGATACTTTCTCATTTTTTTCTTTCTCTTTCCATTTTTCCCTTTCTCTTTCTCTCTGTCTCTGATAAGTACATGTGCCCTCTAGTAAATTTAAAAAAAAGGAAAGAATAAGAATAAATCCATGGGACACTTAAAGTTTCATGCACCGAAAGCTATATGAAAAGCTGCCATCTGCTTGTGCTTAGGCATCACAGGATGGGCTTCCCCTCTTCACCAGGAAATGGTGTCTCTGCTGTGGAAAGCCCTCAGATTGCACCGTGAGACAGCTACCTGTGGAAGCAGCTCCTCACCGTGGTGGGGGTCTTCTCTCCTCATCGCTGGTGCTCCTCAGACCCACCGAGGTTTTCAGTCCAAGCTTCTGTCTCCCCTCTGTGCCTAGATTCATTTTCTAACTTAGAATAAGCTTCTTGAAATGCCTTTCTCTTTAGTGTTTCCTGCCACTGAGGATCTTCAGAAAGCCGCAGTCAGCTGCTCCCCGGGGCATGCTGGGCTTTGGGGGCAACTTCACGCTTTCAACATTGCCCAGGAGGCCAGGTGTTTGGAGCACGACTGTGAAGCCCACAAGCCCAGCCCCACAAGCCTAGTGGCTACACGGCCTGACTTGTTAATTCACCCAAGGTTCTGCCTCCTATCTAAGCTTTAGCAAACAATCTATTCTATTGTTATCAGAGCATTTCTCTTATGCCTTTTAAAAGCCATTCTAGTCTTTACTATATTAATTATATTGGAAATTGGGTCTTTGGAGGCTGATACCAAAAAGGGGCATTTCTCTGTGAGTCTCTTCCTAGCTCAGAAACACGAGGACAGGACAGCTGTGAAGACCCTGTGTTTGCAGCAGTAGCTTCATCTCAGTGACACAGTCTGAAAACAGGCACATGGACTGAAAGCCCACCACAGTAGAAGCGTCTTTAGATAAGAAGCCACACACACACACACACACACACACAAATACACAGTGGCGGGGAGGCAAGGGTTATAAAAAGCTAAATGTTCTACCAAAAAAAGAAAGAAATACTTTTTACCCAAAGCAACAGAAAAGCACAGATTTCACCTTGTCCTTGAAATGACACGTTTTAGCAGTAAATTATAGCTCTGAAGGCTGATGTTGCTAAGGTTTGCTCACAGGTTCGGTCATTCATTCATTCGACAAATAGAGCCCATACTTTGGGAGTGTGCATTGAGGCCAGGCACTGCCCTCGGGGTCTGAGGACAGGGACAAAGGTAGCAACGGTGTGTCCTCCTGGAGCTTCTGCTCTGGCGGGAGAAAGCAGACAAGCCACAGGAAAATCAGTAGGACAAGTTCTCCAACAAGATGATAATACATGATGTCAAGGGGGATAAAGACACTGAGCAGGCTGGTGAGACTGAGGCTGAACCCAAACGCCGCCACTGGGCAGCCAGGCCAGCGCGTAGGGGAGGTAAGTTCCAGAGAGATTGCGTATGGTACCTCTCAGAGGCTCAGCACCCAGGCCCACTCCACAGGGGAAAGAGGGCCGGTGTGGCCTGGGCTCCCTTAACAAGAGAAGAGGGATGAGAAGTGCTGAGAAAAGCTAGGGAGGGCCAGACCCTGCAGAACCATAATGAAGAACGGCCCCAGTGTGGCGGCATTGGGGTATTCCAGGCAGAGGCAGTGACTAGTCCAATTCGGGTAACGATATCATTGTTCTGGCCGTGGGGAGTGGCATATGGATCAGAGTGCGGTAACATGGAGGTTGGACCATCAAGGAGGATTTGGTGGCCATGGTCCAGGAGAGATGCAGTTTTCATAGTCAGAAACAGAAGTGATGTGCACTCAACCTGAGAGGATGTCTAAGTGGTCTTCACAGTTGAAAGTGGGTTCTCAGCCCTTATTTCCTAAGCAGAATATTCCAAGAGACATTTCATTGATAATAGATAATAATAAGTAGAATGAATTAAACCTTCCTAGTACCTTGTATCTGTGGTGGCCTTGTTTCTATGAAAGAGTAGATGTAGTCCTATGTCATTGTCCCTTAGATACTGGAAGCAAACTTATTTCTAGTATGCTTTATAACCCATTGAGACCTGACAAACAGCATTTTCCAGAACTTTCTTAAACCATGGCATCTGAGGAGGTGTGTGCCCTGGGCCTTTGCTTGGGCCTGCAGCATGAGCTTCGAGGGCTCCAGGAGAGGGCGTGGGCAAATGGTCATCTGTGTGGCCTGGGGACTGGAGGAAGCCTTCCTCCCTTTCAGCTAGACCACAGGCAGGTCAGAGCTCAGAGTGGGGACTCAGTCTCTGCATCTGACAGGATTCCGAAGGCACAGCCTTCCAGGTACACAGGGAAAACTCAGGTGATGCTCCCTGCCAGTCCTCTGGGCCAGTGAGAAATGAACTGTGTGAAAGATGATCAAGCAGTTCTGTGAGCTCGAATGAGAAATTTTATTCTTGTCATTCTCTGGCTAAAAACTAAGCTGCCGATACAGACTTGTGCATGCTTCAGTGCAGGTGACAAGCCTTTGTTATCTGCCAGTGTGCTCCAGAAACCGAGGCAGGAACAGCTGCAGGCTGACCATCTGTTTGCCACACCCGCCCTGACTCTGTCGGCAATGTGAAGGCAATTGCGAGGGACAGATGTGCTATGGGGACTTCATAAAATAACTGCTTTTCTTTCTTAATATCTGTATGTAAAATGAAGGGTTCCAAGCCAAAGAATTTCTTCTGCTTGGATCGGGCCACAAGCCACCAAGCTTGGTTAGGGCGAGAACTTACATCAGTTGTCATTACTCCTCATTCGAAGTCTCGCTTCCTTGGCTAATACTTGTGCTCTCCTTTTGCTTTTAGCTCAAAACACTGGAATTTCAACTTTGTATAGGAATTCATATGGTGCACCCGCTGAAGACATCAAACACAACCAGGTAAAGTAAACACAGCACGTTTGCATCCATTTTCCCACTCAACTCCTGAGCAATAAGCTGGGATTAAAATAATAATAATAATAATAATTCTATCTCACAAACATTGACTGAAATAGAAAAGTCTGTCCCCTGGTGCCATCTCCTCACACTTATCACAGCACATGTGTGGGTGGTGCAGTGGCAGTCATCAAAACAGCCTTGGATTTGAAAACCACGTTTGCTTTCACTGTAACCTCAGACTCAGCCTGGGGGCAGAAAGCAAGGTTCCCACCATGATGCAAAACTAAAAGGAAGCCCCAAATAGACACATGCAAGATGCCAATTACTAAACCAGAATTGTCTAACTACTGAAAGGGATTAAGTAGCTCCTGTAACCCAACCAATGCTCATTAGGACGAAAGCTTTCATTACACATGATGGTTACCGATAAAGCAGACATGAGAAGTCAGTGTAGACAACCGGAGAGAATGCACCATGCCATGCCTAGCTACTCGGAGTCTAGCTGGGGACCAGAGGCATCATCACCTGGAAGCTGGTTAGAAATGCAGGAGTTACCACGGTAACACGGCGCTCTACGATGCTGGGCACACATGCGAAGGTTCTGGGGGTCTCGTCCTGAGGACTCCCCATGCACCCTAGGAGTGCACCCATGGGCCTGTGGCCTGGGCTGCCTGTGGCCTGGGTGTGGATTCTGTGAGGACCCTCTTGGGAGTGTCTTCATCCCATCAGCCCTCTCATGGAAGAAATAAACTTAACAACAAAAAGAAATGCAGGAGAGATTCATCTCTGAGTGCTCAGTTCACAGTTTGGCAGTGTACATGGTATGGAGTCAGCACAAGGTCTTCTCTCATCCTGCTGTAAGAGCTGGAAGTCCTCATGGCATGGATCTTCATAGTATATTCAGACATTCTGCTTTTGAGGATAAGGTTCAGTAGAGATGACTTTATGGGAGCAGGCATCACAGGACAGAACACAGAGAGGGGGCCCCAGTGTCTCCCCCCTGAGCCAGTGGGTCACCTCTACTTCCCAGAAAGACGCTGCCCAAAGGCAAAGCGAGCACCAGCCTTTGCTCAGCTCTTTGTCTTTGACAGACAGCTACACTGAGAAATCCCCACTGTGCTATAGGAACATGGTTCTACTTCCATCCCAGGCATCTGGTTTATGCAACCTATGCAATAAGTTAAAAATGCATTAGCTTTTCTATTGGGAGAGCATACATTTGGGGCCATTTCAGCTGCCAAATTTTGAATGCCGTCAGGTATTGCCCTAGAGAAAATTACGAATGCAGCCAGTCTTCCTCCACCATGGGTGCATTTCCCAGATGGTATCTATCCCACTAGTCCATCAAAGGAATCCAGTCCCACTACCCACCCTACAGCTGGCACACACTCCCAGAACTCAGCACTGAACCTTAGAAGTGACTTTATGAAGACTACAGATGAACTGAAGAAGTTAACCCCTGCCAAGGTAAGACTCACACAGCAAGCTTACAACCATCCACAAATACCTACTTACCAGAAAGACCATGGGTAAAAGGATTGGAACAGGTTGTGAAAAATATGGAAACTGTAGCCAGTCTGGAGGAGACTTCGGCCTTATGAGTGACCTCCTCTGAGGACCGCCCTGGGTCCAGCCCTGCCTCTGCTGGTCACTGAGACCAGCACTAAGAAGACTCATCTCTCCTGTCTCCTTCATCCACTGACTTCCTTTCTTCCCATAGAGCTTGAAGTCGACTCAGTGAGGTTTGTCCACCTTGGCTCTGTGGGGACTGTCCTAGCATGGTGGCAAGAGCATGGGCTTGAGAGCCAGTCAGGCATGTGTTTGGTTTCCAGCTTTGCAGTGACACCAGCCATGACATCTTGGAAAAGCTACTTAACTTTTCTGAGCTTTAATCTCTTCATCCATAAAGTAGGGATCCGGTGGAAGGGTGGATGAGTGGGTTAGAAGGCAGATAGGTATGCATACAGATACAAATAGACATAGGCGCACACGTACATGTATGTTTAGATTATCTGAGGATCAATCGAAGAAGAATGTGCTGAATATTGCATATGGTGCCTACTGAAATAGAAACAGTAAACTCTGATCACTCCGTGTACAACCCGTCCAAACCTCCCAGCTCTGAGCCTGTGTGTGTTCTGCCCCCGATAGCAGCACAGTGCTAGAGTGGGAAGTCTCTACCCAGCACCAAGCTCCTCAGAGACCAGCAGGGAGTCCCAGCCTCTCCACAGTCTGCCATACCTGGTCTCAGTGATGTTTAGTTGCGGTGGTTGCATCTTAATTCCAAGTGGCCCTCTGTTTCCATGCCCTCTGGCTCTCTTGGTTTGCACTCTGCAGCCTTTCAGACTTTCACAGGTTGACGGAAATCTGCTTCACTCAGGCAAACCCTGGCTGGAAGTGGATGCGCAGGAGAGCCGTTCTGATGGAGTTCACCATTCTTTGAAGAACAGGTCGATTACCCGTAAATCAATTACATATAAAAGAGGGAGTCTCACTTACTCCAGAGAAGAATTATGTGCGGGCCATTAGAAGCATTCATTCACACACGACGTGCTAATTACAAATCATTATCTATTAACTAAGACCCATTTCTAAAGGATGTTTCCATGCTGAACTTTAGTTAAATTAATAGAGAATTACTGAATCCACTTGAAAGTGATCAAACTGCATTTCTTGAAGAGTGTTTTATAATTCACAGCACACCTCCCTCCCAATTACCGCATACTGGCAGAATTTTCTGTATGCCTGAGGGTGCTGGCCGTGGGGGGTGCCCTCATCCCTTGCCTTGCCAAGTTCTACTCTCTTCAGGGCAAGGTGCTTGGACAGGAGCCCTAGAGACAGTCAGAAGGGAAAAGATACAGGGCCAGCCATTGGCATGGTGGTTAAAGCAGCTGAATCCCATGCAGCTGACTATGTGGTTCAAGTCTCAGACCCAGCAGCTTTAGAAATAGGCCAAAAGGGGAACCAGCAGTTAGCGTAATGGCTAGGTTGCTGGACTCCCACGTAGTCGACCACGGTTCACGTCCCAGACCCAGTAGCTTAAAACTCACGCCAGGCTCGTGTGCGTGCATGCCCAAGATCCCAAGAGGAGAATGGAGGAGAAGGGATTGCAGCATGACCATCCCCCCTGGGGGGTGATTTCTCGCCTTCTGTCTCTGTGTCTCTGTCTGTCTGGCGAGCGCACGTGCCCTATAGCAAAAAACCTCTCCAAAAAAAAAAAAAAAGAAAAAGGGCCAAAGCATGTGTATGTATGAGCGCACATAGCAAAAAACCTCTCCAAAAAAAAAAAAAAAGAAATAGGCCAGAAGCATGTGTATGTATGAGTGCCCAAAATCCCAAGAGGAAAATCACTCGTCTCCTCTGAGGGGTGCTTTCTTACTTTCCCACTCTCTCTTTCTCTCTCTGGAGAGCAGAAATCTGTGCCCTATAGCAAAATTAAGAAGGAGAAGGGGGAGGAGAAGAAGAAAAGAAGAAGGAGAAGGAGAAGAAGAAGGAGAAGAAGAAGAAAGAAAGAAAGAACAAATGCTACTGCATACACTATCAGACCATGAACACCATTGTTCTTCTATCCCAGAAACCAATTAGAGGGAACTAAGGAACTAATTCTTGACTTTCTGTATGTCCAAGGCTTCTGTGATCTCATTAGCTCTCCAAGACCCCTGCATTAGACAATAACCTGCAGAGGACAAGAGTAGAGCAGGGAGCACTGAGATAGGCTGGAGGCACCAGACAATTCTGAATGCCCTCCCCTAGTAAAAGCCTTTATAATTCTACAGCACTGTGAGTTCAATCCATTTTTTGTTGTAGTTCAAGAGAGAAATAAAGTGCTCCTCAATGGATTGTGGTCATCCTGCCATCCTTTCTCCCCATTTCTTCAGCCTGTTGGGATCTGGGGCATGCACGCACATGTGCCTGGTATTTTTTTCCCTAAGCCTCCAAAGCCAGGATTTGAACTGTGATGAGTTGTGTAGGATCCAGTTTTCTTTGCACAGTGTCTCGCTGCCGCTATGGGGCAGCTTGCTTTCAGTCTATTCTGCTTTGCGCCAGGTTAGGAGATGTTTGCGCTCTGGAGTGCACAATCCTTGCAATGGACTTGCTTTTTCTATTTGGCACTTTTCCGGGTATGGCTGTGCTAACTGGTCACTTGGGAACATGGAATAGAATGACCCATGACAGGGACGCTTCAATTCCCCTTCAGGCTCCAGGGGTCAGGCATGTACTGATGACAGTCCTCGGTGCTGGCAGGAAGATGCCCATGTGACCTTGGGGCCTTGGACATCTTCGCTGTCCTTAGATTGCAACACCTAAGTGTGATACGAAGGCAGGAAAAAATGAAAATAAGCTCCACCTCTTCAATGAAAAAAAAAAATTATGTAGTGACCTGGTGCAGCCACTGCAGCCATTAGTTTGACAGTTCCTCAAAAAGTTAAGCGTAGAATTGCCACAGGACTCACTCCTGGGTACATACCCAGAAAGTCGACGCAAGGCCTCAGTCAGATACAGGGACACCCCAGTTCATCACAGCATTACTACCCTCACCAACGGTGGGAACAACCCAGTGTGCACCGGCAGACGAACGGATGAGCAAAATGTGATCTACCCGAAGAGAATGATTCAGCCTTAAACAGGAAGAAATTCTGACGCGTGCTACACCATGGATGAACCATGAAAACATGGCACTTGGTGAGAGGAGCCAGACACACAAAGTCACACCAGGTGACTGCATTTCCAAGTGGTACCTGATGAAGGCAGGTCCATAGGCAGAAAGTAGAATGGTGGTTATGGCTGGGGTCAGCGGGAAGGCGGCTTGCGTTAAACGGGCACAGCGTCAGTTTGGGGTGACGCAAACGCTGTGGTGACGGACAGTGGCAATCATTGTACAACTCGGTACCACTGACCTGCACCTCCACATGGTTCCAATGCTGAATTCCCCATGCTGTGTATTTTATCACAATCATAAGAAATGGGCAGGTTGTGGAGAATGATGGCATGTGGGCCCAGGAACCAGCTTTCCAAAGAAAAGGCCACGGCAGTGGCAGTGTTCCTGGAAGCCCTGCTCTAATGATGGCCTGGGTGCATTCCTAGCCTCCTTTTGGAAGGACTCGAGCCCCTGACGTCGGGGAGGTCAGGTTCAGAAAAGCAAACGAACCTAGCGTGGCTCTCCTTTCGTTTGCAGGTTTCAGCACAGCCCGTCCCCCAGGAGCCCAGCAGAAAAGACTACGAGCCCTACCAGCCGTTCCAGAACTCCACGAGGAATTACGATGAGTCCTTCTTCGAGGACCAGGTCCACCATCGCCCGCCCGCCAGCGAGTACACCATGCACCTGGGCCTCAAGTCCACCGGCAACTACGTTGACTTCTACTCAGCGGCCCGTCCCTACAGCGAACTGAACTATGAAACGAGCCACTACCCGGCCTCCCCCGACTCCTGGGTGTGAGGAGCCACAGCCGAGGCCCCCGGGAACAGTGCATGTGCATGCATACCACAAAACATTTCTTTTTTTTCCCCCCCTGCAAATTTAGTTTGTTAAAGCCTGTTCCATAGGAAGGCTGTGATAACCAGTAAGGAAATATTAAGAGCTATTTTAGAAAGCTAACTGAGTCGAAAGTTAACTTGGAAATCAGTAGAAAGCTAAAGCGATCCTAAATATCACCGTGCGACACCTTTCTAGTTGGGGCTGTAGAGTATTAAAAAGTGCTTTATACTGAATGTGGCTGATGGAAGGAGCGAGCAGACAGCGGTCCAGGCGGCGGGGCGTGAGGGTTATCATGAAGCACAAGACAGACTAGTTCACACACCTTATGGGGGACGGCTTCTCACGCTTTGTTTACTCTCATCCGTTGTGACTCTAGGCTTCAAGTTGCATTGGGGTTCCTCTGTACAGCAAGATGTTTCTTGCCTTTTGTTAATGCATTGTTGTAAAGTATTTGATGTACATTACAGATTAAAGGAGAAGGGCATCGTGTATATTACACCAATGCCGCCGTGTTTCCTCATCTATGGTTCTAAATATTGCTTCGGTTTCAGACTTTTGAAAGATGTATGGATTTCCAGTTTTTCTTTTCTTTCTCCCAGTACGTTTTAACAAAAAAAAAAGAAAAAAAAAGAAAAAAGAAAAAAAAAAAACAGGAAAAAAGGAATATATAGCAGTATTGTTCGTTCTGATATGTGAATTTGTTTGTGGCAACTAAACAAGGCATTCAGCAGTTTCTGACAGTTAACATCCATCATTCCACACTCCTTGTCAACAAAGTGCTTTTTCACTGCCTACAATTTTAGATGTAGATATTTGAAATAGATTTTTTCATTTATACCAGTTTTCTTTATGATGATACAGTGTTAAAAGAAAATAAATTACAATTGATCTGTCATCCATATCTGCTAAGAATGTCTATTTCCAAGGACCTATCTTTAAAAAATACACATTCTTGCTCGTGTGTCTGTGCGTGTGTGGGTGTGTGTATGTCCACGGAAGTATCAAGATGCCCTGTGCGAGACTTTATTTTGATAGAAGCTATCTCATTTGCTGTCCATCCTGTATAAACTTTATTTTTTTTTTTTTTTTTTAGTATAAATGTACATCCGTTTGTTCCTTTTGTACTGTATCTATTTTTCCGACCATCTAGTGACTCAGGAGATTAGGCCAGGTGAAGTGAAGTTATAGGATTCGCACACATTCTCACATATTCTGGGATACCCACCGTCTCTACAAGTCCATTTCCTCCCACGTTTTACGCCCTCAGAACACAAGGAACCATGGCCAACTCAATAATTTCACTTTGGGGCCAATTACTTGAAGTATCCACAGAAAATGTAAACTGCTCACCTTACTCCCCTCAAACTTTTTGTTCATGTGGCAGGGAGCAGTGGGCAATTATGGATTAGATTACAAAAATTGAACTTGAAGCTAATGTTAGAATAGTGGTTAACAGAGCTAAGAAATAAGGCTAACCATTAAAAAAATAAAATGGGCTGTGGGTAAATTAGCTTTGCTCTTTAGATGCAAGTGGCTGAGGCCGGTAGGTGCCTAGTAAATGTTAACTGTTCTTGGAAAAAATAAAAAAATAACAAAAGAAATTGGCTGCCATCTTCCTTTAAAACTAACTCCCCTTTGCTCTTCTTAGTTTAATTGAGCTCAGAGTCTAAAATCGGTGGTTCTTTCTCCAAATTTAACAACCATCATAAGATACTTGACATATAAATAGGTTTGGGAATGAAATGTGAATTTCCAGAATAGAGCAGCAGACAGAAGTTTATGAATGTATTTTTCTACACATTTGGTATGGACTGGACCTTGTCCCATTATTTCCTGAAGGACTCCACATTTCTGGATTTCCTCCCTGGACTGCTCTAGCCTTTCTAGAGGGAGATAAATACATAGCTTCAAGAACTGTGTTTTCACACCATCTATGACACTAAAAGAAATAGTAAAGATCAAGGTAGAGGGTGTGGTCTGAACATGACTTAATCATAACCTGATAGCTGGTTTATCCTTTCCAGAAGGAGACAAGGACTCCCTGCCTGGTCTGAATCACACAGGGGGAGGTTAATCCATGCTCTAAGAAAGTCCTTCTCCTAACAGAAACTTCCTGTTTTCCTTGTGATCTTGAGTTTCGAAGAATGCCCATGTTTGTGACTCTTAAAGACCAAGGAGACCTTTGTGGTCCACGATTCTTTGAGAGCACATTGCACTAGGCTATTTAGTTCATTCATCTGGGAGCCTCTGACATCAGAGATGAAGGTTGGAAAAAGAAAGTTACATGTTCATAGTTACTCAAGCAAATCCTTTTCCTTTTCATCTAGACACACAGAGTCATAGAAATAAAAGACAGATAAATGATTGATTGAGAGGTAGGTAATATAGACAGATAGATGGTAGAAAGATAGATTGAAGATAGATCATGATAGACAGACGGAATTTCACCTCATCAGTGAAATAGCCTGTAACTCTCACAGGCTTGCTTGGCAAAGGTTGGTCAGTTGGTGATTCATTATTCACAACTTAGGCTATAAGGGATAAAAGCTCCGGTTGGCAAGACAGCTTTGGTTTTGCTTTCATCGTGCTGAAGTGACCAAGACCCCACTCCCCCAGGTGCCTGCCTCTCAGGTCTACAAGAGCCTCCAGATCCTGGGTTATCCTACTTGAAAGGGGGATGGCATTTTTCTGAGGGGGAAAAGAAAAGAAGCTAGAATTTTTTTTTTCTATTCAGTTCCTTTGATAGATCATAAATACAACCAATGCACTTAAATAACATACAAAATCCAAGTATTATATATGAAAAACAGACCTTTTAATAAAAAAAATCTTGAGAATGTTGATCATCAGGCAGCTTAAATATACCATTGTGAATACTATTAACATTTTTCAAACGATCTTTTAATCTTGACTTCAACTGAATAGTGCATACAAGGGGAATTAAGAAAGTTTGTGGGAAAATGGAATTCAAGCACACATTCATGTTGGTGCCATATAATAAGCATTTTTCCATAAACTTTTTGGAAGACTCCTCCTATGCATGCTTTGATCCTCATTAGCAATCATGGATCAGACAATAAAATAGCAGGTTCCTAAGCATTAGGATAACACAAGATGCCACATACTCGGTGCTAAGCTAGGTGAAGACTAACCACTGGTGACTCATTTCATGTTAATAAGACTCACACATGAGAGAGAAAAAAACACCAGACAGAAAACTCCATGTATCTGGTCTGTCTTGTTTTCTTACTTCAGCTCCTCTGCACCGTCTGATCCTGTCCCCTCGTCCCCTGAGAATCGCACCCTGACAGGTGAGCTTTGGCTGCCTGATAACACCTGGCATTCCCACTCATGTCGGTGTGAGGAAAACAAATGTGACTCTTGTCTGAGAAATACTGTACCAAAGTCTCCCTCCAGGCTGCCAGGGTCACTCACCAGCAGACATAGATACTCAGGATGTCCCAACTCATCCCCACCTCTGAGGGTTGGAGAATAAGGCTAAGGCCACCAGGTGACGAAACCTAACGGCACAGCCCAACCTTTGTCTCAAGACAAAAGAGCCACTCTGGAACCTCTGTATGACAAGGGGCAGGGTAGCCATCAGGAACACAGTTGTAGCTAAAGACCCTGCCAGTTATGCAGACAGGTGTCTCTGACCCCTGCAGCATTTTCTGCTGTTTCTGTCCCTTGATCCCTGGATGTGGTGTTTCCAAACTGTGTTCAAGACATTATGAACAACTGTCTCATCAATAACACGCTGATCTCTACCCTATCCTCAGCCTAGAGGTCCCTGGTCTCTTGAAAGTCCCCCAGGCCTCTAGAACCAGAATTGATCTCAGGACACACATGGTAAAGTAATGCTGTTGTTACGGTCTTCATGTGTCAGCTAACTCAGGCCTCACTCGTAGTGCATCTGACTACCAGGTGCTGCTTGGACTCTGCTGACAGTGTCATGGAGTTTATGGAGCATGCCCAAATTACCTCCTAAAACCTGAATATTTTGATTCAGTTTGCCTGAAGGGTTTTATACAAGGGGCTTGATGAGTGAGTACTTAAGAGAACTGTACCTGTGTGCTACCAAGGCCTGGTTCCACTCTTAGAACAGACTTCTTCCCACTGGTACATCCCAGAACAGGGTCTTCATTAAAGTCTGCTGGCTCATGCAGAGCAGAAGACCTTTTGCAGATCACCTCACCTTAATGCAATATTGCATTTTGTAACTTATAGGACTAAACAGCAAGGAGAATCTGGGGTGTACTGCCCAGTACATGGCTTTCCCAAGAGAAGAGACTAAGACCTCCAGATGCTTACAAACACCCAGAACATTCCCAGTAACGGACCCATGATGTTTCCAGACAAAGCTGTCCACTTAGTATCAGTACAAACAGCCAGTTCAGAACTGAAAGGCAGACACCTGACCCTCAGTCCTTCAATGAGTCCCATCATAAGTAATTGTCTTCACCTTGTGTCTCATTAGCCATGGATGAAGGAGAAATAAATCCCACCCCCAACTCTGGAAGCAGACTAGAAAATGATGAACATGGCATGTTAAGTCAGAGTTGGGCCTCAGTAAGGCAAAGGAATTCTTGCTATCGCAAGATTGGAGGAGACGATGTGGGACGCTCTAAGAATGGAAAAGAAGAACATGCACGAAAGTTCACTCAAACTTTAGCTCACTAGAATTACCTGGAGCACATCACCTGGACGGCTGCTCAGAGTCTCTGCTTCATAGGGCTGGGCTAGTCACAAATTTGTGATTCTAACAAGTTCCCAAGCAATGTTGCTCTTGCTTGTTGGGGGCTACACTTTGAGAATCACCGGCCTAGAGAGAGATTGTATCTGAGATTATTGTAATAGTTAGCCTAGACCCTTGACTCAGCGTGTAGATGAAGAGCAGCAGCCTGGCATCACCTAGAAGCATACCAGAACATCAGAATCTGCATTGTCACAAGGTCCCCAAGGGATTCATAAGAACTTTGGGACTTGAAAATAATAATCCAGAAAACACATAAGGATCTGAGCTAAGAAAATGGCAGGTCAGCAAACAAAACTGATGTGACATATTGCAGAAGTAAAACAAGTAGCTTTTGGTTACAACGTGAATAATGAAGACACCTGAAGTTCCCTTTGAAATGTGACCCTGGGTGACCAGAAGCCTAGCAACAGAAAAGCCATCCTTATGAAGGAAGAACCCTCCAACAAGGAAAATCCTGTCTGGACAGGTGAAGGGACTGATGCTGACAATCAGAGGGTTGCAGCGGGAAGTTGCAAGCGTAACCGGGACTCTGGTTTAGAGTTCAGAAGTGGGGATCATCTGCTTGGGGTTGAGAGCTGAAAGCTGGGCATGAGAAGAGGGTATGGGGAGAGGAGAGTGTTGAGATGGTGACGGTGCTGGGGGGCAGCAAGAAGCAGAAAAAATGGAAGGAGAAAGCCAAGTGAGGTGAGGGAGGAGAGCAAAGCTTGTGTAGCACTGTCCAAGGCAGGGAGGAGACGGCTGAGAGGAGGCCGTGAGCACAGAAATGCAGCCATGCAGGGCCTTGGACGGTGGTGTCCATAGCCAGGGAAGTTGGGGAATAGGAGAGGAGACAGCGGCTATAAGAAGCTTGGCAAGGGACCATCATCTAAGATGAGACTCAGAAACAGTCACACACAGAATGGGAAACTACTTAAGGGCAACTGAAGCCTAGGGGCACGTGCATGGCCCCTGCTCATGTAAGGCTTATCAGCAGCTGATTGGATTCCAGCATTTACTGCTTTCGTAAAGACTGAACATTTGCTCTTCCTGTCCAGCCTTCCGCTAGACAGTCTTCTAATACAGTAGGCTGCATTTTTGAGCTGAGGGGAAGAAGTGTGCCGATTATTACACAGCTAGCAAATGTTGCAGATGTAAAATTG